CCTCCGCCTGATTAGGGAAAACCCCTAGAGCCAAGAATTTTGGTACAGGAAATCACCTGGCATACTGTGATCTCTTTCAAAGTTTGTTGTTTTCCCGTGTGTTCCTTGTTGCTGCCCGTGTCGAGCCAGGTCAGTAGAGACTTCCGCAAGCTTACAAGCAACCCTGCGTACGGCCTTGAGTAGTTCACATGTCGTGTTCTTTTCCACCTTGTTGCTGTGAGCGAGCCAAGCCCGAGAAGAACCAACTCGTGGAAACAGGGGGACGCCCCTCGTGCATCCAAGGTTCAGTCGACTACTTAGCCACCTCTTTTCTAGATTTCTATTACTGTTTTGGAGGTTGTACTTTCCTGTGATGGCTAAGTAAACGCGAACCTTTTCGAGAACAACAGCCGCGACGAACTCCGCTGCCACGAGAGCAACTCCTGCTCTCAAAGCCTGGAGCCCTGTGATATCTTATTTAGTTCTTCCTATGTGTTCCTGTTCAGAACCTGTTCATGTGTTGCTGACCTCGTCCAACCAGGCAAGTAGCAACTATTTGTAGTCCAACCTTTGCTGCGTGCAAGCACTCCTTACAAGTGCCACGTCTCACCGGCTCTTTTCTCGCGACCAAAGGGAACACTTACGGAAGCTTACACTTGAACAACAGGGGAGCACCTCTTTGCCTCCATAGCAGCCCTCGAAGGCATAACAACGCCTTCCGCTGCTAGACCTGGCGTCCTGTGATCTCTTCACCTGTCTGTTTCTGTTCCGAGTCAGTTCTTTTGTTGCTACCCTTGTCGAGCCAGGCAAGTCTAAGCCCTTCCGTCCTTAAAGGAAGCAGTGCTGCACATGTGCATTTCTCAGGTTTTTCTAGCTGCCCGACACTCTGTGCTTTTTAGCTGTTACTTCTTGCTTGGCCAGTCAGCACAGACCCCAGCAAGCTTCCCCTGAAGCATACTCACGGCAAGTCTCACAGAGTTTTTCTTTGACAAGGGGGACGCCCCTGGACGACAGGATGTGCTGGAACCTACCCGTCTTGTTTCGACCCACGTCCTTTTGTTGTTATCATGTTCTTTCTAAACCGATTCCAGAAGCACACCGACGTCGATCCTTGCCACAAATCTAATTCGATTGCCCGAAGTCACAGGGGAATGCCCCTCTTCCCACAGTCTTTTTCCTAGTCATTGTCATCCTCTACTGTTCTGTATTCCCCCGGAACCCGCCCTGTACTTGTTTTTTCGAATTGCAGTCGCTGAGGGAAGCTGCGCTTAACTACAGCATGCAGTGCCGAGGGCATGTGGTTGCAACTTGCTCACCCCCCACCAGTCGGGGGCGCTGACGCGCGCGGTGTAGAGGGAAACCTCTACACCATAGCCCTGGCGAAAGAAAGAGAACTGCTCCGGTTTGCATGTAGGTTCAAGAGAACCCTGCGTGTGTATCTACGCAGGAGTTTGATGTCGCTCAGCAGCTTTACTTGGGGATAATCTGCACCGGTGTCGCCACGACGTGTATTTGCATGAGCCCCCCCCCCCCCCCCCCCACTTGTTATTGCCTTCTGAGTTCCTGGAACAACCCCCCTTTTCCTCTTAATTCTTGGAATAACAACACCCCCTGTTGTTCCCAGCCTGGTTCTTTTCTCGCCACGGGGTATGTTTGTTCCTCAACAGCCCCCCTCCTTTCATTTCCTTCGCCTGTTGTTCTTTTCCGGAACAACCCTCCCCCCTCCTCCTATTATTGCTCCGTTCCGATTCCTTCGAACAATAACCCTGCCTACTATTGTTCCGTTCCTATTTCTTCGAACAACAACCCCCCCTTGTTGTTGTCCCCCACAATGCTTCCCATCCCCCCTTTTCGGGGTCGTGGGGGCTGTTCTTCCCCGAATCCAGGGGCAAGAACCCCCTCCTCTCCATGCCGAGGGGGTCTCGTTTCTGTGCAGCACGACGTCCCTATGTGCGCTGGGCGGTTGCCTCGTCTGCCCTGCGCAACGGGATGAGACATGCGCTGGGCACGCGACTGCTGGAAGGTTTATCTTTCCCCCTAATATTAGAACGTCCACCCCCCTCCTAAATATAAAAGTAGATTTCCGGGAGTCTATTTTAATATTGGGGGGGGTTTGGGTGCATCCGACCAGTCAACAGCGACCAATTCCTACGCAACCACAAAGCCCTAAGCCTTAAACCATAAGCCTTAAACCGTGAGCCCTAAGCCCTAAAGCCCAAGCCCTAAAGCCCCAAGCCCGAAAGCGTTAGCCCCGAGCCCTAAACCCTTAAACCCTCAAGCTCTGGTTTCTTCGGTGTGATTAGTACAGCTGTAATCTTTGGCTCTATTAAAACGCATACAATCCTAGCTCCCCCCTATTTTTTTAATTCACTTCCAACCGAATTGCGGAAATTGAGTCTAAACGTGGAAGGTGTTGCGAAGATTGAAGATGCTCATTGTGTTTCTTTCTGTGTGTTTTTACGCTTTGTTTTATGTGTTAAACATGTGGCACGTCCGCTTCTGCCTGGCGCTAAAATTATGCCTACGCGTGCCAGGTCCCGCAAGCCAGCCCCGAGCTTCTTTGCCTTGTGCCATGCGTGCCATATGGCTCAAGCTATTGATTGCAGTAAATCGCAGTCGAGGTATAAGGCTGACTTTGCCAGAGGTGGCAACTTAATGCAACGCGTGTCATGTGGTTTCGATTCCTTTTGATATCCGCCCAGTGGCGATGAAAGCATCTGCACATTCGCAGAGATGATGTCTGATCTTGCAGCGTTTGTCGTGGAGATTGGCTTAAATAGCGCTATCTGGATGCAGCGATGCACATCATCGTCATGCCTCTACTTGTACACAATGTTCATGAGTGCCATTCTCGCATCGAGGTTGCCACAGTCATGAACTCAGTAGTATCATCACTGCTTTACGGGTCTGCCGCGGCGACTTATGCCCCGCGCCAGGGTAGCATCGGCAGCTTTACGGCCTGCAGAGTTGTGATCGACTGGCTCATTGGGAGTTTCTGGTGGTTGTCTCGACTTCGGGTTTCTGAGCTGCGCCACCGAGGAACCTCCTCAGGCAACCAGCAGGATTACTTGCATGCTTTGACCGCATCTTTTTCCACTGAGGTTCCAGTCCGTACCATGATAGCGATTCCTGTGTGCAGGCTGACCCAAGCAAGCGATGCTGCGCGATTGTGCCCAGTACGCCGGCAAGCGTTTGGAGTGTGTAGCGGCAGCTCATTGACACGCTGTAGGCCGTCGGTCTCAGAGTTTGATATGGCGACCAGTGAGAATCTGGACTGGGTTGTGTTCAAGCCCAGGCCTGGGCTCCGTTGGGACGAGCCGTCTTGGATCACTGGCAGAAGCTCCAGGCAGGATATCGGCAATTGAAAATCCCGTTCCTCCGTTTAATCAAGCCATGTCCAGGCTGGCGCAGCTTTCTCGGGGCCTCCCCTGCTGTACTGGTCGCCGCCCGGCTACAGGAGCTAGAGGAATCAGAGCTTCGGTTGGAAGGGGCGTTTTTTTTTCTGAGATCTTTTGATAATCTTCGCACCAAGTCACTCCATAAGGTGTAGAATCATGATAATCATGAGAACTTCAGCCGGGCAGGAGAGCGAAACATGGGAGCAAAAAAAGCGCGAGTGTGAGTCGCAAGAACAAGGAACTTGCGACCCGGCGAGCCCGAGACTGTGCCGCCAGCCCGGGCTCCCAGCGGAGACTCTGGGTATATATCTATATATATATATACATATATAGATATATGTATGTATGTATGTATGTATATAGATTGTAAAAGACTAGGCCTTGGGGCAGCGGGTTCCTGGAGCATTGTAGCAGGAGGCTTGCTCAATGGTGCAATTATGACTGTCATTGCATCGGTTGTTCTGATAATGATGCCATTTTCGTGCGGCAATAGTATGCAGTCGATAACTGCTAGTCAGAGGCTGCGGGGACAGGCGAAGGCATCGAGATGGCAGTTGTTTGTCTGTCTGTCTGCCTGAATCCTGTCTGTCTGTCTGTTTGCTCAGCGATGCACAGTGTCGATGTAAGGAACTTTTCTTCCGACGTCCATCCGAGATGCCGGCGCTGGACAGATACCCGCAGCCAAGTTTCTGCACGAGCTTGTCGTCATCCGGAAATTATCAAAATCATGGGGCGGCCTGGGGATAGCTTCCACCTTGAACCGACTCAGGTCGGGCACGCTGAGCCAAGTCTTGAGTCCGAGCAGGTCATAGCCAGTCCCAGGCTCACCTCAAAAACCCCACCTCCAGCCGGTGATGGGTCTCCGAACGGTGAAAACGCAAACTTCTTCGAGCCAAGGCCTCAAACCATCAACGGAGTCCGAACCCCCTGAGCCCTACTTGTAAGTACATATCAAGGTATGTCTGCAGCTCAAACCGCAATTTCAGCTCAACGCTGGAACTCCTTGGCATCTCCGAGCCGGAAACGCAGGAAGACGGAGCCTTCCCAGAGCTGCTCGAGACACAAGACAACCACAGCCGGTGTGAGGGAGAACAGCATCCGGACCCCAGACCTTGCCGCTCCGGTTGCTTCCAGGAGCGGCGGGCCATGGACCTTTGCCTCCGACAGGGCGGAAGAGCCCTGGATCTCGGAGCGGGAGCGGGGCCTCCCAGAAATGTTCAAGAAGGGATGTGGGCTTGGTTCCTAAGCAGATCTTCGCTCCAATGCACCACTTGCAGTGCTTCTGAAGTTTGCATGAGATGTTCAAGCAAGTTGAGAAGCCAGAAGACCTGCCAAACTTTGGATTTCGAGAGCAGGCCGGCAGCCATGTGCTGGCTCTCCAGAAGCGTGGCCTGAGACCCAGAGTTTCAACCTGTGTCACCGCTGCTCGGCTTGCTGTGTTTGCTGCTGTTTCTGCATGCTTCTGTTGATGTTTTCGAGATGAACAGTGCTGCAGAAGGGAAAGCTCAAGCCTCCCTGTAGGGGAAGGGGAGAGCCATCAGTGCAGCGCGTCGCCATTATTTCCCTGCCGCGCAGAGTCTTATAAGAGAAGGTGTGGGTGGGTTCAGCTGAGCCAGCTGAGCCATGCTCCACCTCTCCACGAAACATTTGAACAACGACGACTTGGCCCGACTCCAAGCACCGGGCAGGACGAACTTTCTCCCAGTGCCCTCGCTGCCGGGCGTGCCAAACAACTCGCCAAATCCTGGAAACTGCCCGAGCTGTGGGAACGACTATGCGGAGGGTGCTCGATTCTGCCGCGACTGCGGCTTGGCAAAACCCTCCCAGGCTGCCTTGGTATCGATGCGAAACGAGGTGCCGCGGTCGGAGATCAAGAGGAACGTGTCGTTTGGACCTACCTCAGTGTCTGACCTCTCTGCGGCCGCACAGGCCCTGCCCAATGCACCGCCAAGGCTGATCGCCCGGTTGCAGGAGTTGGAGCTCGACAGTTTGCTTGCTCTCTGTGAGCGTTTGGAGGGCCGTCTCTCGAAGCCGAAGAGGTCGAACAGGATCAAAGCCTCTGAAGCAGAGCTGGATGACCTTTGCGAGTCATTGGCTGACCCGGATGCCATGCCATCTCCACAGATACGTCAGCAACAGCAGCAGCAACAGCAGCTGAGGTATTTGACCCAGCTGCGTGAAGCTAAGCAAGCTGCAGCTGAAGGGTTCGCACCCCCACCAACTAGCACTACGAGACCGATCTTGAGATCAGATGCACATGCTCCTGGCATGCATGCTCCGACTCCGTCACCTTCACCTTCTACGCAGGCGCCTTCAACTTCGGTTGGCACGTCTGCAGAGCCTCCAGATGGACAAAAGAGCATTCCAGCTTCGAAGCAGGAGGCAGTGAAAACCTACTTTCCAATTCTTTCATTTATTGTTTTCTTGGCCTACTCATCGGTGTGCATCTTGTCACTTTTTCTTGAGCCGTGCAGGTTCTGGATGCCTTGCTCCTGGAGCTCAACGAGTTGCTGGAAAAAGCACCGAGCCAAAGCCACGTGGGCCAAGCGCCTGCCGCAAGCCCGGGGGGCCCCAGCCCATGCGGCAGCCCAACGCCCAAGCCTGAGGCGCCCGAGCCCAGTCCGAAGCCAGCTAAAGCGGGTGCTATCGCGAACTCTGCCGGGCCTCTTCCAGTGGAGGAGCAGGTGAAGCCAGCAAAGCCATCCGCTGCATTCCTCGACACCGTCTCCATGCTGCAGGACGGGTTAAGGACCTTGGTGGAGAGGTTCTCTGACGAAGTTGCACAAGCGAGTGCAGAGCTGAAAGCAGAAAATGAACGTTTGTTGGCTGAGATTGCAGAGTTGCGGATGCAGCCTCGTGATCCCGTCACAATTCTTAGTGCACAGCACCGGATGGAGGAATCTCCGGCCGAGGCGATCTTGGGGCCCGCAGTCTCGGAAGCGGAGCCGACCCCCATGGCTATGGCCACGAGGATGCAGCCCGACCTCGCTGTGCGGTTTCAGCCGGAAGAGCGGATTGACATCCCGGGGGGGCCGCCGGAGCAGGCACCGGAATGCCCGGATGTGGAAGCTCCTGAAGGCGAAGGCCGCGAGGCCTCGGGCGCTGGGAGCCTTCCCACCTTTGCGGCCCGCAGCCAGTGGGTGCAGGCGCCGCCTGCAAGGTAGCAGGTAGCATGGTGCTCTGCTGCTACGTGTCGTGCCGTCGTGTCTTGAGTCTCGCTTTCAAGCCTGTTAAAGCCTAAAAGGACCTAAGGAGGAGCCTTCAAGCAAGCATTTAGGGGGTGACGAGCAACCGATCGCAGGAGCTCCAGGCCGGTCAAGCGGACTGGGGGGAGAATGCCGAAGAGTTCGAGAAGGCCACGAGGCCTCTGAGGTGCTCCTGTGTGTGCCTGCACGAGCTTTCCCGGAAGAGGATGCTTTGGGACCTTCTCGGACTACTTCTGCTGATCTATGACTTGGTGATGACGCCGTGGCAGGTAGCTTTCGGGCAGGTGGGCACAGTATCAGAGGTCATGACCTGGGTGCTCCCAGTGTACTGGGCCATCAACATCTTCATGACCCTCTTTTGCACCAGCTTCTCCTCCGGGGGTGTGTTGCATTCGAACCGAAAGGCCATGGTCTGGAGGTATCTGACACAGGGCTTCCTCCTCTTGGACTTGCTGACGACCCTCCTGGACTTGGCGGTGCTCACGACTTTCTATGACCTCCCGCAGTCGGCCTACCAGTCCCTCCGGAGTCTGGTCCTGAACAAAGATGTTTACCTTGCCATCCAAGCTGCCCGCCTCCTTCGCAGCATCCGCGTGAGTCGAAACCTACTTGGCGTCCGAGCCCGCATCCGGTCGGAGCTGTGGCGTGCATTGGGCACCATGGCCTTCAGCACTCTGCTGCTACTTCTCGGTGCCCACATCATTGCATGTGCCCTCTACTATCTTGGGTCGGCCACCGGCGGCAATGAGAACACATGGCTCCTTGAGTATGCGCAGATCCAGCAGCAGGAGGACAGCATCTCCATGTACCTCAGTGCACTGCTCTGGGCTTTGGCACAGCTGACACCAGGATTGGGGCCGAGTCCCGTGAACCCCAAGAGCGTGCCTGACATGATCCTCTCTACGACAGTTCATGTCCTGGCACTCCTGGCCTGCATCTGCCTGTTTGCACAGGGTGGCATGTTGGTGATGCGCCTGCGGGATGCCCGTGGAGAGTGGGCAAATCGCCAGCTGGCATGCAGGGCCTATCTGAACACATGTGGGAAGGTGCCTCAGCGATTGCAGTGCCACATTCTGAGCTGGTTGGAGTTTGAGCCCGAGCCTCGCAAGGCCTTGGCTCCAGGACCCCGCTTTTTGGGGTGGTGCGGCCCGCGGAGCCTTGACGCACAGCCTTGGCACCCGTGGCTTCCCTCCGAGAACAGATCGCCCTTGGCCCTGTTACCACCTCTGGTTCAGCAAGAGCTTCTCCAGGAGTTGGCGGCACCTTTCTTATCCCTCCATCCTTTCTTTCATGAGCTGGACGTGGCCCACCCTCAGGCCCTTCGGCAAGTTATTGATTGCTTCCAACAGTTCTTCTACAGCCCCATGCAGCCCATCTTCCGTGCTTTGACCGTTGCCAGCAAGCTGCACATGGTGACCCGTGGCTCTGCGACCTACTCGCTGGACCCCGCCAGTCGCGCGGGGGCCAGCAAACGACTCTCCCGAGCACCAGTCAAAGTGAAGCTCGGCCAGCACATCTCGGAAGGAGGGCTTTGGTTGGAAGCTTGGCAACATCAGGGCATCTTGACGGCCGATGGCATTGAGGACGCATCCTGCGAGGTTCTGGTCTTGGATGAACAGAGCTTCGGCCATCTCCTGCGTCGCAGTCCCGGGGAGCTTTGGCAGGCAGCCGCCAGCTATGCTCGGGCCTATGCCAAACGGGCCGGAGAGCGAGTTACACTGACAGACTTAGATGGAGACCTGGAAGCTTGTATCTTCTTGGGAATTTTTCAAGCTGTTTGAAGTCTGTTTATATCCTTGGTTGCGGTCCACCGAAGCCCAAGCCATACAGCCATACAGAAGACTCCTTTCTGCTCGCACTGACAGGAGAGCCTGGTGAAGATTACGGACGAGGCCTTCGCGGACGCACTCCGCTACCTTGCGCAGGAAGCCGAACAAGATCCCGCCGGTGAAGCCATCGGGCCAGTCTCGCCGTGATGCTTGGGGGGTTCAGGCTTCTAAGGCCTCTCTCTTTCTTTATCTTTCTTTTCCATTTTGGCATCTTGAATTCAAGTACTTCCAATGCCTGAGTGAGTTTCTGTGCAGTAGATCAGCGATTAGGGTTTCACCGAATTCGAAAGCATGCAGCACTGGTACTGACTTGAGATTAGGTTGCCGAGACGTAAAAACGCGGACGAATGCAGAGATGAGTACAGCATGCCCGATGCTCCGATCCGGTCGTATTTGCTCGTGACAGCAATTCCACGTATTGCCATGATGTTATAACGTTTTGGGCAGTCAGCGGTGGAGCCACATGTTTACGACAGCACATCTTGTCGGCAGCACGGAACTTGTGAGTAGAGTCTAAATCATGTAGTAGCATTGAGTCAGTATATGGTAAGTACTGTGGCGCGGGTCCTCGTGGTCCTGACGAAAGAATAGCAGACAAGTTCAAGCAGGCATCATCGGCATCAGTAGCACAACAAGAGAAGCCGCAAGACTAGCAACATCAGCAGTAGCACTGACCACGTAGCATTAGCAGGAGTCAGGTTATCGCTCATACAACCATCACGCTTTCGCCTGGAAAGCACCCTCGTCGAAGGCAGGTATGCTGAATGCGGACGGCTATTCAAAACTGACATGTGCTCCTAACAGATGTAGAGATAAGTTTCATAAGGAAAAACCGTGAGAACACATTGAAGGCTGGCCGGCGGTGTTGCGAAGATTTGCATTGCAGGTGGGCGCTGTTGGCATGGGTGCGACTTGCTGCACAGAGCGGGAGGCTGGTCGAGCTGATCACTGCGTTTCGCTTGCACATTGTCAACTGAAGCTCAAGAACCAAAGATGCGGTGTGCGCAGTCGAAGTTGCAGGCACAGCTGTGGCGGCAGCCCCGAGCCGCGAGACATGCTCGTAGTCTTCTTGCAGCTGTTGCGGTTCACATAGCAGCATCGGTCATCGGAGCGATCAGAAACATTAATTTCAGCTGATACGTCATATAATTGAGATCCGTGCCATGGACGGTCCCATGATCCGGAAAGGCTTTGAAAGCCTCAATGAGGCCTTCGCCACAAGTCTGCAGAAGCAGAAGGAGCAACACGCTCGACTCCGTGACATGCAGCAGGCGACGGCTGGCATTGATAAGAAGCTCTCGGCGCTCCAGCAAGAGCTAGCACAGCTAAAAGCCATGGTTGCAAAACGCAGCAGAGCTGCAGCATCTGCAACGCCAGGTGCAAATTCTCCCACGCCACCGCCTAGTGACGTACCGTCCACAATTGATTCTGAGCGGGCCTCCCAAGCAGCCCAGGAAGAAGGTGCCGACGCAGTGCAGGTCAAGAAGGTCTACACTAACGCCGGCATAACCTTCAGTAGGGAGCTTTTGCTGGCCTGCTTGGAGGCTCCAAGCAGTTCTATGGACATCAGGCTGCTGCCATGCCTCGAAGAGCTGGCCAGAGAACTGGGCCGGCCTGCTCCCAGCAACTGCAACCAGAGCCAGACCTCCAGCTCCAGCTCGAACTCCGATTGGCACTGGTCCCTTTGGAGGGGCAATTGGTACTATTGGCAGGACGGATGGAGGAAGTGGCAGAAGTGAGCGCAAGGGACAGGCAGCGTCACTGGCCACTGTCCCTGGAGCTGAAAGTCATGGTGCGGCCGGCCCACGCACTTAACGATTGCCGTTTGGCACTCATTAAGGTTTCGGCCATGCTTCGAAGCATGATGAGAGGACTCTGATCGGTTTCACGTTCAGCCCTCCCGCTGCAGCTTTTTCTCAATTTGCTGAATGACTGAATGTATTCCTTGTGGGAGTGCTGCATTGGGAGCGCAGAGCTCTGAACCTGTCTGCCATGGGTGGCGAAGGACGTGCCGATAAACTGGTGCGGCTGGAACCTTCTGTGCTGGAACAGTTGTCCCGATACTGCTCCGAATACTACATGTCCCTCGCATGTATGTAGTCTATTCGTCAATGTCCCAAGTGGTAAAGCCTTCCGTTTTTTGCAGTGTCGTAGAGCTGGAGGATGCCACATGTGCATCCTGTCCCTTGCCAGCTCCCGCCCCGCGGATCTCATCGGGCTATCGTGTGATGCTTTGTCATATGCCGGGTGGTAACGGTTTAGGTTCTGAAATGATGTTATGGGTTACTGTGTTGAATCAGCTCTGTCACACGGTGTTGGGCCCTCTGAATGTTCTAGTTCGGACTTGTTGCATGGAATCCGGTAGAAAAAGATAGAAAAAGCATGAGACCTTATGACTAAAGAGTGCCAGCAATCCTTTGCCAATTTGCGGACGGCTCAGACACGAAATCGATTCCTCCATTAGCAGCAGTACATATATTCAAGAGTCTCTGAAAGGCTTCGGGCCAGTGCCCAGAGCCCCGGAGACCGCCGGAGGCAGGGGCAGGGCCGAAATGCAATGGTAGTTCGTGCTTGGGAGGTTTTACCCCTCTACTTCGTTAAGTCACAAATTCTGGCCTTCTGTGCATTAGATTCTGGGACACCCGACCAGGGCCTTCGAACAGACCAAGAGTTGAATGCAGTCCCGAACTGAAGCCCAAGGGTCAAGCTTTGGCTTTCCTTCTCTTCCGAAGGCCGCCTGGCATGCACCCCCAGCAGAAGCCGCGGCTGTGGTGAATCCGGGCACCGGCTTGAAGGAGCAGGCTGGCGGGAGGTCAAAGATTTTCCGAACTACTTGGTTCATGTTGAAACATGTTGGAACCGCGCTATGAAGATCCACCTTCGCTATCATTTTTGGAGGCATCTGCTTTCAGTCGATCGATGCCCCTTCTTGTGGGATGTAGGGTCTGCACGGTTGCTTGTATAGTGCCTTGCGCCTAGTGCGTTGGCATCCAGTGCGACAAACAGGGGGTCCGATATTTTAAATATCTCGTGGTCCCAGGTGCCACAGATGTCTAGTTGCATTTTAAAGTCATCATGTCCAAGAGCAGGGGACGCTTGGCCACCGTCCGACTTCACTGTCTCATCGACTTACCAGCCAGTGCCTATGCTGAGTCGAGAATTACTTGGTGTCGAGGTTTGTTTGGTCGGTCTCTTCTGGTTGACAGGAAACTCGAGCCATGGAACGGGATGCATGTTTTGTGCTACTAGGCTCGTAATCTACCACTGTTTCGAACTACCAACTGCTGCCATCTGCACAGGCGCCCAAAGTCGATGCACCCGCAGCCACACAAGTGGCAAAGGATCTGCGCTTGGGCTGTTGGGGACATTCAGGGACTACGGGGTGCTGCTATATTCAGGTCATTGTTGGGGTCCACATCGACAAGCCCGGGTGTGTCTTCAATATGTCCGCCACGAATCAGTCAGAAAAGGGGCATGTTTGGGTGTTTTAGCTTGGGCTCTTATTTTGAGGATTGATCCTGTCAATAAGTATTATTAAGCAAAACACGGGTACACACGGCCGTCTGGAGGCAGTTCTCAGGAGGAGAGCTGCGATGCATCGCGATGTTGCACAGTGTCTGAATCAAGCTCGCAACTCCAAAGTGCTTTCCGTCCAGCATGCTCCTGTACTAGCCCATCGCGTCGAGAGCAATGTCTCAGGTTGTGCAACCACCAGATCTTAAATTGTGCAGGAGAAGGAAAGGGCAAAGGAACCAAAGAAAGACGAGAAGGCGGCCTCCTCCTGGCCGAGTGTCAAGTTCCAAGTTCAGTCGCAAGCCCCTCGCCCTTCCAACATGCCCCAGGGCGACTACGAAGCAAGCGCACACACACGCACACACACACACACACACAGACAGGAACAATAAGAACGAGAGCAACGGCAGCACAAGCAGCAGCAGCACCACGTGGAACAAGAACAGCAAAGAAGAAGAACAACAACTTCAACAACCGAACACAAGCAATTGACAATGACCATAAGTGGAGACAGTCTCGGAGATCCAGGCAGCAGCCTCAACCGAGCCAAAGGCAAAGGACGGATTTGAGTGCTGCCGTCAGGTTCTAAGGCATACAAGTATTTAAGTTTAATCCTTATAATCAAGCCTGTGCTTGTTTCATTCTTGCTGTTGTTATTGAGAATTTGTCTCTGAAATGACTGCTATTGCTTTTTTGTTATGTGTCTTCATGTTCCATGTTCATAAATTCTCTCGTAACATGTAGAAGCAAAGCGATGAAAGCTACGACATTGAAATTTCTACACATGACGAAGGTTTCAGCATTGCCAAGAATTTTGTTTTTTACGGCTTTGGAGAGCTTCTAACTCAAACAAAGCTGCAATTGCTCTCCGCTCTTTTGGGTTTGTATGCTTTTTTTTTTTTGCTTCTTTCGGTCCTTCATGTCCTGATAAGAGCACTCCAGAAATTCACAAGGTTCGAGTTGTTTGATGAGCAAAACCAGAAAGCAGGCGTGTTGGATCCTGAGCTGGATTGCAGGCTCTGTAGCATCGCTGAGACAGGAGAACCCACGAAGAATGTCGGGTTCGCAGCAGGCCACGGGGGATGTTGCAAAAGACTGCCGCGCAAGAGAACACCTTCCTCCAGGTTTAACCAGCTGCAGACGTGCTATGTCGCTATGTACATCGTAGCCTGCGCATATGTGCATTCATATGTATTACAGTATCTACACATGTACATGCATCTGTCTGTCAGGGTGGAAAAGAGGAGAAGAGGATTGATCCGGCCGATCCTCGCACCAATCTGCTTCAGAACGCTGGGAATATTATTATTATTATTATTATTATTATTATTACTGAATAGTTCAGTACAGGGTAGGGCGACGGCTGTCGGAGCGTTGGCTGAATCAGCGTTGCTCGAAAAGCTTGTTAGAATGCCCGAGCCAAGGATGGAAAAGCATACACTTTCAACCAGATCTCCAAATTCTACAGAGGACTCGTTCTGCTCGTGCACAGCAGGGAAATGAGGGGACGACAACTCACAGTTCAATATACGTAATCATCAAAAAGAGGAAGAAGGCAGTTGTTTACTGCACAGTGTCAGTAGCAAGACATCTGCACCAGAATGCAGATCAGGAGGGAAGGAGGCGGTTCAGACCTTGCAAAAAAATCATGGTCGGGCTTTGGACGAAAATGCCCCAACAATCAGGAGCAGGCTCAGCTGCTGCGCAAACCCTTGTTGTTGCGGAGTTCTCGCACGCGTGTCGTGTCAACTGTCAACTTAAAGACGTCGTAGGAGCTGCTAAGTCTTGGGTCAGCATGGACAGAAGACGGCTGAGATCACTTCGAAGCGAGTGCACTCTTGAATGCCGTTGCTGCTGGGCAGGAGTATACAGCAAGCACGACATCCAGACTTACTGGGACCGGAGCTGCAAATCTTTGAGCCAGTGACCGAAGCGTTTCGAAGCGCCGCGACGTGCCAAGACCAGCAGATGCTACTGGCATGGCCTTGGTGCGCCAGGCAGTAGCATCCACATCCATGCGAACAAGGCTTCCCAGAGTAGCAATATCCGGGGTACTAGCTACTGGTCGCTGTCATATCTCAAGTATCAGCACATCTGGCCCACGCTGTGCACAAAGCACACGTAGAAGGCAGCCATGCCTGAATCGTTTAATTATGAGTTGTGAATGCGAAAGCATGGAGCAGGAAAAGGTGGTCCCACCGATGGTATGAGAAGGTGATGACATGCACAGCCTTGCTGTGTCCACACAACTCGGAATGACTTCAGTGCTTCGCCGGCAAGGCATGAAGATTAAGGGCCTGGACCTGTCGCCAGACGCTGTGGAGGCCTGGCAGAGGGCAGCGAAGCCAAAACTCGACTCAGCCAAAGCTGAGGCTTGTCACCAGTGGCTGGACGCTTCCAGTACATTCGGGCGTTGGCAAGCCATGTTGCCAGGTCATGAAAGCGAGAGGTATCGAGTCTGAAGTGGGCGCTGTCCCCAGCCGCCTTGTGCAGTCGAGGGCCTTGATTCGGACAAGGTGTCCTCAGCCAGTGAAGAGGAACGTAGGATGCCATGCGAAATGCCACGGGTAGTGCGCGGGATTCTCCGATGGCAGCGCTTCATCAAAAGCCCGAATGATGCTTAGGTTCATTCTGGAACCTTCCTCCGTGCGCGACGTACGACACCATGCTGATGCTGATGAACACCGCAGGTCGAAGGGGAACTTGCTTGCTTTGGCCTCTTCGGGCCCATCGGGTTTGTGGAGGTTCCGCAGGTGTAGATCTTCAGATGCGACTTTCGTCAAGTGCTTGGCCGACCCACAAGCGGATCACATTCTGGCGATCGACATGTTGATTTGAGCCCAGTTGCGGACATGATTTCGCAGTTCCATGTCGTTGTCCGCAAGACTGCTCTCTCCTCGATCCGGGTTTCCTTTCACGGCTTGTCCAAGCTGCGCGGAACCAAACATCGAGCCGTAGACCTGCGCACATGTATCGTGCGCTAGCGGTTCACCAAGACACTATTCCCTCTGTGGTCAAACCGGAAGGAGTCGAGCCGAAACCCCTAATCACACCAGTCGCTGAAGCAGGGGCGGCTGGCACCTTCGAGCGTCTCTCGGCTGACTCGATTCGTCGGGTATCGGAGATGCGGGGCTTAAGGTATGAGCCGGGATCTTGCAGCTTTCTTGCTAGCCTGTGGTAGCAAAAAGGAACATGGCCTCGAAAAGGACCTTACCCGCTTTGGACGTACCCATAAGAAGTAAGTAGGTGTCTGCCATTGTATGCCCACATATGTATGCCTGCATGCATACATAAGGATCTGTATGTGTACGTATGTGCATGCATGTGTATGTATGTGTGTGTGTGTATGTTGGTCTGTAGGAATGTATGCACGTATGTGTGTATGCATATATGCGCTTATGCATGTGTATGTGTTTATGTGCGCGTGTGTGTGTATGTCTGCTTGCATGTACGTATGTCTGCATGTTGGTGCATGCATGCATGCAAGTATGTAGGTTCTCCAGGTACGTATGTATGTATGTCATGAAGTGAGTTCTGTTGTCTCCCCAAACACTGTCGGTGAGTAGGCAGGCAGGCTGGCAGGCAGGGTGGGCAATACCTGTTTGTGCATGTCTACATTGAGTCTACATGTTCACATATATGTATATGTATTCATGACGTGATATACCTGCCTAGATTTCAGCTGTCTGTTTTCTATCCTGCCCTAATGCTTGCAGCTCCTGCAAATGGATGCGTTCCACTTGGCTCCTGGATGAGGCTTTCAGGCACTTCTCCGGCAGCTGCGGCACAACCTGGCACCAACAGGACAGCTTTTGCTTGACCTGCTCGGATCTTGGGCACCTGGCACCTGTCACGAAACAGAAACACGGATCGTTGAAATTGATATGGGAGATTCCGAAAACTAGGGGTACCTAATTTTGGGGCCCTTATAATAAGGATCCTCCTATCTAGGGTACTATATTAGGGTCCCCTCTGTTCGGAAACTCCCATATGTTCAGGTCGCCTCCTGACTGGCCCGCGGTCCATCGAGCGACCAGGAGGACGCGTGACAGGCACGGAGATTAACAACTCCCCTTGCTGCTCCTAGGAATTACGTTGTATTCCTTTTACAAAAAAACTTAAGGGGAGTAATAAGAATACAATTTGTACTTTTGGCTCTGAGGGCGGCTAAGCTTAGGACGGCCATGAGCCTGAGACGCCTGGAACCCTTGGGTTAAAAATAAGTTACAGGAAAGCTACAGGAAAGCCGCAAGAAAGCTACAGGGAGGCTGTCGAAACTGCAAAGCTGCAGAAAAGCTACAGACAAGCTAGGAGGATCGAGACGAGAGCTTAGGTCAGCTTGATAACAATTGCGCAAAATCCGCCCGAATACCTCTCGGAAGCTTGCTCTCTCTCTCTCTCTCTCTCTCCCTCTCTCCCTCCCCCCTCCCGCTTCCCCGCCCTTTCTCGCTCTTTCCTCCGCCCCAGTGTCCCGCCCGACGAACCCAACCTCCCGCCCCGCCCCCTTGCTCAGCTTTTCACGTCGAACCGCGGGCTACTGCCAGCTTGTCCAGTAACTTTCCTCGCCTCAGAAAATAGTTGTGATTTTTCTTTTGTCGGCTCCACTGTCGCGGGGAGTACGTGGGCTGGACAAGTACTTTAGCTTTAAAGCCTTTCCCGAAGGAAAAGCTAACAAGAAGCTACAAAAAGATACAAAAAACTAACACAAAGCAAAACAAAAGCTAGACAAATCTAACAACAAGCTAACAAAAGTTATCAAAAATGCTACGAAGAGGCTACCAAAAAGGAAAGACAATAATCTGAGCAAGGCAGTCACAAGCCCAAAATACCGTTCCCAGTAGCAAACCCGCACGGCCCTGCCCAAAACCGTCCCAGACAAACCGTGTTTTCCCAAACATGACGAGGCGGTGCCGTCCGTATTCTCCGTCTTTGCATGTCACAAGCCATCTTGTACTCAGATCTTGTGCTCGGAACTCCTAGCTTTTGGGGCAGCTTTTTGGAAGCGTTTTGGATTAGCTCTTGTTTTGTTTTGTTCTGGCTTTGGTCGCTTTCCACAATGACCCCCGGCGAGCTTTTATTTGGCTTTCCCATAGCTTTTTTTGAATCCAACATTTAGCTTTGTGTCCAGAAGACGGTCGTCTTAAGGCTAAGCTGCATGGTTCTGATGCTGACTGACGGCACCCGGAGCATAGGCTTCCCGCGGGTAGCTTCCTTGCGGGGCGCTGGGTATCGCTGAGCTGCTGGTTGAGTGCCTTGGTTGCACCATCGTAATTTTGCTAGAGATGGGGCCTTTGAACAGTGACAGAGAGTGCTTGCTCGAATGCTGAGAGACTACTCAAGCCGTCTTGGCTCGAACTTGACCAAACACCTGTGCGCAGCGGACGCACAAACGATCTCGTGCGTCCTCCGGGTCGCACACAAGCCGCGCGGCTTGCGATTACCTCTACGCCATGTTGACCATGGGCATGATGGCGGCAAGTGGATTCGATGGCTTCGCGGCGAACCCAGCTTGGCCTAGCTTCCCTCAGGCTTACTGCGCCGTCTATCCGACATCCACGGCGTCGACCATGGCCTCGACACCTTTGTCGACAACAAGCTCGCCACCGGGATCTCCAACAGTGACAGACCACCGCATGGATGTCCCACGCAAGGCCAAGGACCGCACAGGCTGCCGCGAGCTCCAACACCTACTTCAAGCTGGCACATTCCGCGAACAAGAGACCATCCTAGGTCAACTTCGTGGACACGTTGCCGAAGTTGCCCAATCGCCGCATGGCAACTTCGTGCTGCAGCAAGCCATCCGAGTGCTTAGCTCTGAGCGTTTGAACTTCATTGGTGAGGAGCTTCTGCTTTGGCGCACGCCAGCACTGATTGCACAGCATAAGTATGCATGCAGAGTTCTGGAGCGAATCGTGGAACATTTTCCAACACAGCGGTCGTTTCCTTTCATCGAGGATGTGGTTCGCCACAGTCTTGCCTTATCGTTCGACTCGGTTGGGCATTATTCTGTCCAGCACTGCCTGGAGCATGGCGGCCAGAGCTGCCGCCAGGAGCTTGCCAACATGGTGTTGAATCATGTTCATGACTTCGCCGCCGACCCCAATGCATGCAGTGTTCTCAACACAGCCCTTGTCTACAGCAGCGCCTACCAGAAACAATTACTGGTCGTTGCCCTGGCAAGCCACCCGAAAAGCCTCCGGAACTTGGCATCGATGAAAGAAGGCTTTGCTGCATGTGAGGCTTTGTTCCAGATGGCCCAGCGGATGCCGGGAGTGGAGGATCAGCTGCGGCAGCTGCTCAAAAAAAGCATGTGCCAGATCTTAGGCACCAATCACGGCCAGGCGCTGCTGCGCACGCTGGCCCCGGAGTTGCTTGCTCACCGATACCACAAAACCAACACCAACAACAGCTGGCGAAGCAGTGGGACTCAGCCTCAGCAGCACCAGCAGCGGTCACACCAGCAGCACTACCGCCAACATCACTACCGCCCGCAGCACTACCGCCAACAGCACTACAGCAACCAGCATTCGCACCAGCCGCAGTCCCAACAGAACAGGCAACAAGAGCAGCAGACATTGCCGCCACACGGCCAGCAGCGCCACCGCAGCTGGCGCAACCAGCGCTACTCGTTCCATCCATGAAGGAGCAGGAGCCCCCGTGCAGCAGAGCCCTCACTGGCGTTGAGCGGCCTCTAGCCCCAGCCCCCCAGCCCCAGGCCCCAGCCCCAGCCCGGCCCCAGCCCCACCGCCTAACCCCCTGCCCAGCCCCAGCCCCCCGTTGATCGTGTACCGATGGAGCTGCAAAGATCGGCGCCTCGGACGAATCTCCGGCCTCCTCCCATATTTCAACCAGCAGGGCCCAAGGCCCCTGGATAAGTCTTCCATCCTAGCCGGAATCTCCAATCCCCCTTTCACTTCTTGTCCACGGCAGTCACACAGTCAGACATGACTTCCAAAGTAGCCTCCGATGCAGTGCCAAACGGGTCATAGGAAAGTTGGGCTGTTAGTAAGTCTCTACTTGTGAACCCTGTCGTGTGCGCTTCATATGGGCGCTGCAGCCCTGCCCATGCACAGAGCCAGCACTGGCGAGCCTCTCTGTATATAATTCCAAAGCTATTGCAAGGCAAGGTCGCGATTCTGGTGCATGCCATCTCTTGGAGTGACGACACTGTTAGCAGATCTTACTGTAGCGGGCAATGATTTGCGCGATTGCATGTGCCAGCACGGATGGCCTTGGCACTCTGACCCACCTGAGGTCGTAATTACAATCATTTAAACATCGTAGCAAGCCATTTTCGCGTCTCAGTTTCAAGCAGTGGAACCCCCAAGTTGTGCAGCCAGTTCGAAAATCGTTTCTCCCGGCAAGTTGCAGACATGAGCGATGCTGGTGGCTTGGGCGCCTCTACGAATCCGGTAAATCCTACCCAAGCAGCCAGCCGAGCCCCGAGACCTCGCCAAATAATCACAGTTCGTAGCCCCTAATTCCGGCGCAGAAATCTTGACAATTCTGTCAAAAACCCGGAAACTCGGAGCCTGCAGCCGAGGCTTCGGTGAGATGCAGGGGGCCACCTTCCCCAAGCTCTTCGCTGAGCCCGCAGCCGCCGTCGAAGCTGCAGAGGTGGAAGGCCTGGCCGTTGAGCAAGTCTCTCCATGAAGCATCGCAGACAACATGTCTACAGTTGTTTAGATGCTAGAAGCGAGCAGCAGAGAAGAGGACACAGATTTCAATATGATACAACACAGTACAAGACAACACGCTATACTATAGTATAATATAGAATGCGGTAACTATAGCATTAGGTCATAATTTGCTGTGGTATTATATGAGATGAGGTGACCAGAAGAATGAATACAGCATATACTATTCCTTTTTCCTCATCTACATACACATACATATACAAATACGCACACATACATAAAAAAACTCTACATTTCTACGGATATACATATTACATGAAATGTGTGTATGCACAGACATCTATACCCTGTGTGTATGTGTATATATATACACACATTACATGTACAGTACACATACATACATGCATATTTGCGGTGTAAATAGTGTACATGATGAAATAGACTATAATCGAACAAAGTACAGTGCAGTACGTTGCTTCTGATTGTTGGAAGGTATTGTTGTATGTTCAGTTTGATCTTGTCCATGTGCCTTTGTCTGACCACCCCGGTCTTTGCCTTGTCGGGTTTCATGTACCCAAACAAGATCTGTGCGCCAAGAGGACTTTCACATGCGAGCCGTGTGTTTTGCGTAATCCTGTAGCTTGGTGATCGCGAATGCTTGTGCGATCAAGCACTAAATGCCAAAGGCTTTCACGCGACAATTGTCTGCCAGGCTTGGAGGGGAAGGGAGGGATCAACAGGTTGGGTTTCTGCGACAGACGCAATCTCAGGAAACGGGTTGCAAAACCATGTCATAAGATGTGCTTAGCAGTGGACATTATGAGGGTACAAGCAGTGATAGTAGTAGTCGTCGTCGTAGTAGTAGCAGAAGTAGAAGTGGTAGAAGTGGTACTAGTACTCGTATTAGATAGTTCTGTATTTGTGGCAGTGGTGGTAGAAGTAGTAGCAGCAGTAATAGTAGTAGTGGTGGTAGTGGTACTGGTTGTTGTTGTGATTGTTGCTTGTTGCGGTTGTTGCTCTCATGGCGGTTGTTGCGGTCGCTGCTGCTACTGCTGCCGCCGCTGCGGCTGCTAGTGCTGCTGGTGCTGGTGCTGCTACTGCTTCTGCTTCTGCTGGTGCTGTTCTGTTTATGCAAGTGCAGTTGGACTTGGCGCTTCTTCGTACGATGTGCTGCCGGAGTGATACGTTCACGGCTCCTCAGAGCGCGTTGCAAGGAGCCGGGGAGCCGAAACACTTTGCTTCGGCTGCAACCAAGGACGGGTTTTCGCGCCTGGGATGTCGTGGTACGAGTTTGGTGGCCGTCGTGCTAACAGGGTCCCGCTGATCGTTCGGCTTTGAATAAGGAGGACGATCCCCAGAAACGCAGGGTGTAAGTGCCCGGCAGATCCTTTCGCGAATGCGTCTGGGGTAACATTGCTCTTGGTGTTGACGTGGTGCTGCCCTCTCGAGCAGCCTTCTTGATTCCCCACTGCAGCCAGGAGCGCGTCGCCAAAGACTGGCCGAGCGCAAGGCCAGGCCCCGAGGACAATGCGCCCCATGGAGCAAAGCCTGGGGGAAGATGATAGGGCTGCACGCATATGCCTTAGAACTCAAAGGCGCATGTCAAAGCCGAAGTGAGAAGCCTGCAGGCCGCGATGGCTCTGAAGCCGATCGGACCGGCACGATGGGCAGACAAAAAGCATATCAGTGCAGCACCATGGTCCTAGATGATGCGCTGTCGCAAACACTTCCTACTTACTGGTTATTACGAGCTTGTGCACAGGTTGTAGCTCGCATGATACAAGTATTTCATGCATGCGAGCAGCGGTTTCAAACGTCGTTTTTTCATGGCTTCTATGTGCTATTGCAGCAATAGCCACAGCAGATGTTGTGGCACGGCTTGTTGATGAGGCTTTCCTTCAGCGATTGATCAGCATTTTCACCTCGCCGGCTCATCCCAGCTGGTAGATTTTCAGTAGTTCCAGAACATGCTGATCTAATGATTGTCAGTGCCTTCCAGAGAAACAGAGAGAGCTTTTTTTGGCAGGCAGTGAGGCCAAGAATTTCAGCCAACGTAGCAATGCATACGCAGAGCTCTCCTCGCCGTGCTTGCTTTGGCCACTTTGCTCTCGAAGCTTCTCTGGTTGCCATGGGACAAGCTGTAGGGTGTTCACTCGACGACCTTCCATGCTGCACCAAGAACACAAGCACCTGGTCCGCAGAAAGACACGCCGTTTGGGCAGTGCTTTTGATGTCGAATGACACCCGGTCGTTTGAGAAGCTAAACTTGTAATCACACCAAGGCCATTCGCTTCAGGGGTAGAGCCCTAGCAAACCTCTTTGCAACGTCTCCCGTCCCAGTGCCTCGTCAAGTCTTGCTGAAACTGTCCAGTCAGGTACCACCGGAGACATTGCCATGAACCCAGTCATTGCAGAGCGTGGTTCATGTTGGTATGTTGGTTTCCAGGTTCGTGGAAATCGCACTGCGACATGCCCATCATCATGATTACGATGATGACGACATATGATGGTGATGGTGATGATCATGAAGGCAGCAGTGCTGCTGTTGCCGCTTGTGCTGCTTGAAACTGCCGCCGAATACAACCGTACTCATCCCATGTCTGTGAAGCCAAGGTCAAGGCTCGGCCTGTCGGTTATGAGTCGCAGGATGACCTCGCCAAAGGCGGGCGCCAGGGTTTGGTGTCGGCCCTTTGGGACCTGAGCCCCGCCAGAACTGCGTGGTGTTCTGGTTTTGCCTCGCAACCACGACACCAGTTCATGTTGATCAGCCTGGGGTTTTCCGAGTGCAGCTGTCAAAACTGAGTGAAAACCAGCCGAACCACTGGATCCATGCAAGCGTCGACCCACGGACTTGGGCAAAGATGCATGCGACCTAGAAGTTTGTGTGGAGCCTGGTTAGGGCAAAGAGCCTCCGTCCGGCCAGAGTGTCAAGAACAGATGGAAGCCCTCCTGATCGACAGAAGCCCGAAGGGAAGCCCCAAGTGTAGCAACCAAGCAGCTCCATGAGTCTAGGAGTCTAGCTGTATGTCAGAGGATACTTTGAGAACCCGAAGCAATGCACGAGAGGTTGCAGTGTCCGACGGTGTCCTTTCGACGCCTAGAAAACGATAGCCAGGTCTTTAGCTCTGCACATGCTCTACACTACAAGGCATCGTCAAAATTAGTGCGCGGTTAGTGACATATCTCACAAGCTCGCCAAGCTTGGGTGCTCCTGTCACAAGGGCCACCCCGAACTCCAACCCTGAGCCACACCTTCAAAAATGGGTTGGCCAAAGCCTGTGTGAGCCCTACACCGTTTTTTCCTTTAAATCGGAAGTGCAAGCTCGGCAAACTTGGCAGGGGAGGTGCCGGTGTGGTCAGGAGCCCTGAAGGCGGGCTTCGGAAGCGGCAACTTCTCCCAAGTTTGGGGCTTGCGATTTGGAGTATTGCTTCCAAGTTTATTGGAGGAGATGGAGTTGGACTTGTCGTTTTGTCAAGCTTCGCTCGCTTCGTGAACCTGACCGGCTCTGGGCAGGAGGCGACCGCGGAGGACTGCAAGACACGTCGTGAAGTATGCCTGCTGTTCCATGAGAGAGCGTCATGCTCAAGGCTTCTTGGGCTCTGCCATTCATAATGGCTTCCCCGGGAGATCTTCATGCCCTGCTCATGTTCATTTTCAGGGTGTTTATCTTCATTGCAGCGTTTGGGCCTTCGGGATCACGAAGTAGCGGCATCTTTAGAGGCACCGGCTGCAAATACCATAGGGTACTTTAGGGCTTTGGGGTCAAGCTCTAAACTTAACAGGACATGGTACACGTACCCTATAAAGGTTCGGCCGTCGTCTCGGTAAGCCAGCCGAGCTTCCACAGAGCTATGGCACTCGAGAGTCCGGTCATCGCCAAAGTGCTTGCACGGTGCCTGGGAGTTGAAGAAGTCATGTCATACAATGAGAATATCAGAGTCGCGCTCGTAGGAGTTTTCAATTTGCTGCTACCAGGAGGCTAATCGGTAGCAAGCAGCAATAGCAACAACCGAGCATGCTTTGTGGCGCTTCTTGCTGACGCCCCTTCTTTTTGTTCACTATCGTTGTGGTCGTTGTCTCACATGTTCCCCCCACCTTCACCCCACCTTTAGCACCGACATCACGAGTATCACTCCTATCGTTTTCGACATCTTCTGAGCATTCTGCTCCATCAGGATAAGCATCGCCATTTTCATCAGCTTCAGCAGCACAAGCATGAAGTCCGTGCCAATCTCCCGCAGCATCACGATCCTGATAATCGTAGACATGGTGCAGTAGTATGTGTGGGGGGCGCTCCCAGGTACCCGGACGTTGTCCCCAGCAGTTTGAACTTCCCTGCCGATGCTGTGGACTGGACTGAGAAAGACGTGGACCTCTTTGTGGGTATCGGCCTTGGCTTGTTATTGACATGTTCATTGCCCTTTTGCACCGAACCAGAACCACAAGGTTTAGATCCACAGGGCTTTTTCGACAGAGTTGGCTTTTAAAGACGTTTACAGACTTTTAAAAACTTTCAAATGCAAGAAAAAACATTCTAAAAACTTTTAGAAGACTTTAAAAGACTTTTAGAAACTTTTAGAAGACTTTTGCAAACTTTAAAAGACTTTTCAAAACTTTAAAAGGCTTTTAAAATATTTAAAAGACTTTTAAAAACATTAAAATACATTTAAAAGCTTTAAAAATACTTTAAAAGACTTTTAAACGCTTTTAAAAGCTTTTACAAACTTTAAAAAGAATTTGAAAGACTTTTAAAGACTTTAAACAACTTTTAAAAATTTTTAAAAACTTTAAAACAAAAAAAACTAATGTTTTTTCCGAGAAGACGAGGATGAAGAAGACCTGGCACAGGGTTTACAGTTTCAGGGTCTTTAGGGTTTGGGGTTAAGAAGGCAGAGTGCCATAGTATTAGGGGTTTGAGGGTAATGAAAGGGTTAGGGTTAGAGTTTCAGGGTCTTTATATTTAGGGTTTGGGGTTAGAAGGCAGAGTGCCATAGTATTAGGGGTTTGAGGGTAATGAAAGGGTTAGGGTTAGAGTTTCAGGGTCTTTATTATATTTAGGGTTTGGGGTTAGAAGGCAGAGTGCCATAGTATTAGGGGTTTGAGGGTAATGAAAGGGTTAGGGTTAGAGTTTCAGGGTCTTTATTATATTTAGGGTTTGGGGTTAGAAGGCAGAGTGCCATAGTATTAGGGGTTTGAGGGTAATGAAAGGGTTAGGGTTAGAGTTTCAGGGTCTTTATTATATTTAGGGTTTGGGGTTAGAAGGCAGAGTGCCATAGTATTAGGGGTTTGAGGGTAATGAAAGGGTTAGGGTTAGAGTTTCAGGGTCTTTAGTATTTAGGGTTTGGGGTTAGCAGGCAGAGTGCCATAGTGTTAGGGTTTGAGGGTAATGAAAGGGTTAGGGTTAGAGTTTCAGGGTCTTTAGTATATTTAGGGTTTGGGGTTAGAAGGCAGAGTGCCATAGTATTAGGGGTTTGAGGGTAATGAAAGGGTTAGGGTTAGAGTTTCAGGGTCTTTAGTATATTTAGGGTTTGGGGTTAGGAGGCAGAGTGCCATAGTGTTAGGGTTTGAGGGTAATGAAAGGGTTAGGGTTAGAGTTTCAGGGGTCTTTAGTATTTAGGGTTTGGGGCTAGAAGGCAGAGTGCCATAGTTTTAGGGTTTGATAGTATTAGGGATGCACAAATCGCGTGAAGTGGCTACGAACTGCTGGATGTTGCGCTTTTCTGCGTTGACCACACTGTCAAGCGAATCACGTGCAGGCGAAGCAGGGTACAGCTGGGTGACGCGACAACGTCTGGCACTCTGCCTTCCCAGCTGCTGGCACTCTGCCTTCCCGCCTCAAGATCCATTAATTATTGCCACCCCAACTTTGCACAAAGCTGGTCGGTCAAAGGTATTGCTCCAGCATCAAGGTCAGGAAGTTCCCCCGGACCACCGAGACGGATGGCAACAAGTGAGAGGTGTTTCATCTGAAGGACAAACTGCCGTTGTTGTTCATCTTCGTCGTTCCAAACATAAACAAAATCACAAACGAGAGAAACGCGCGGCAACTCCAGCGGTTCTTCTCCTTCACCCACCTGATAACACTTCGGGAAGGGGCCTTGGTACCGTCGAAGAAGCCTGAGGCCTCTGTAATGCGGGAGCCAATACGTGGCCAGTAACGCAGGTAGCGAACCATGATTTCCCAAGGCACGTCGTCATAAACTTCATTCCATCTCTCAGCTGGTTTCCACTGGTCAGGCGCTTTGGCCAATTTTTCGCAAGCGGTTTTGATCAAGATTGGGGAGAGCTCGCCTCTGAAGAAACACTCTCCTCGTTCGATCGGGGCGAAATGCATTGCTCTGGACGGCTACTGTTCAGTCACAAGCACGCACGGCTTCAAACCACATGTGCTAGTTTGTGCGGCTTCCGGGTTGTGGCACTCGAAATGATTGTCCATGTGCTTGCACGTGACAAATTCCACATGTGTGAAAATGCGAACATGCTTTCGCAATCCGTCTTCCCCAAGCAGAAACACACAGTCTCTCGGACGCATTCCAATCTAGCAGGACCCGCTGCCATCAATGCAAGCACACAGACAGACACACAACTTTTCTTTGCAGCGCAGGATGAATCCTCTAGTTGTTGCCAGGCCTCCTGGTCGGGCCACAACAGGGCCTATGGTCAATGACGTGTTGTCTGGCCTGCGCTTCTGTCATCTTGGAAGCCACACGTCCCCAGTGATAGGGTACGAGGTGGCTCCACTCGCCTTCAATGCCAGACACACATGGGTTCATGTAATGTGACACAACACACAGCAGATCAGGCAACCACATCGAAGCTATAACAAATGTTCCGAATCTTTCCAAGAGACCGCCGTCTGTCACACGAACTCGGAGAAACCATTTTGCTTTGTCAGTGCCACCAGGATTCGGGTCGTACTTCATCTCACCAGCGATCTTGGGACACTCCGGGCATTGAACAGGTGTCCATACCCCTTGGTAGTCAACACGGTTCGGCCGCCGCTGATGTTGGGGGCCACGGACTGCAACCTCCCGTGGCTCGAGTGCTGGGATAGGCACTGCAGGCACCTCCGGCATCTCAGCAGGAGGGGCTGGCACTCTGCCTTCCTCGGGCTCCACGTGATCATCAGGCTCTGGGACAGGGATTGCAGCAGGCACCTCCGGCATCTCAGCAGGAGGGGCTGGCACTCTGCCTTCCGCGGCCTCCACGTGATTATCAGGCTCCGGCTCCACCGGCACCTCAGCAGGAGGTGCTGGCACTCTGCCTTCTGCTCCCTCTTGACCACTTTCATCAGGAGGCGCGGGTTGCTTCCTGGGCAACATACGTGGGCGACAAATCTTTCTCTTGGCTTTCCGTTTGGCCTGTGGCTTGGCCTTTGCTTTGGTCTTTGCTTTGGCCTTGCCCTTTGCCTTGGCCTTTGCTTGCTGCGTCTTGATGGCCTGCCAGGTTTGATGCACCCTTTTGATTCTGCGTTTTCTGACTGCGTCTGAGACCATTTTAAATTCCTGTTTGTCCTCAGCAAGCAGGTCGTCAAGAACCAGCTCATCAACAAAGTCCCCCATGATAATGTCATCCTCATCCTCATCCTCTGTTGAATCTTTGGCTGTCGAATACATAGCCTCAATTTTGCGCATGAAATCCTCATCTTCCGGAAGGTGATGAGAAGCGATCAGGCTCATGAGCTTTGGACGGCGCATTCGTTGCAGCTCCTTTCGCTTTTTTTCGTCTACGTTTCCAGTCTGGGAGATCACATGCTCGGCGAGATTCTGGCAGTCTGCGAGAGTCCGACATGCTTGTGACATTTCCCTCAGTCGAGTCAGCAAAAACAAGCACAGCAAAACTTATATAAGTTTATTGTACTATTTACTGTATGGGTCGACAGTTGACAGAATCCTAAATGAAAACATGTCACTTGGGATGCTGCAACATATAGGATAGAAGTGACACTGAGCTTGTAGCACAACGACGGAGGCAAATGAAGCCATTCCAGAAGACTGCCTCTGTTTCGATGACTTCCCAATACTGGGGCTCATACAAATGAATCCAGCAGGCCTTGACGCTGGAACCATCCGGGCACTCTGCCTTCAAAACAAAATATATCTCTCCTGTCGACTGGTCCTCATGCTGGACCACTGGCCACATGAGAGCAGCCCAGGTTTTTGCCCCAAGAGAGAGATAGCATGTCAAATCCAAGACATGGTTCAAGATCTTCAAAGGGGCTGCAAGGCTGCTAAACTTCCCAGCACGCAAGGGAACATGCTGAGATGCCAGTCTTGCATCATTGTAGTGAATTAGCCATGACCACGCAGCTGATGCTCGTTCGAGTGTCTCTTCTGACAGGGTGTTCCATGTCTTGTCGCCGACAATCTCGGTATACTGTGACGGCAGCTTGTGGACACATCCTCTGAAGCACAACTTTTGGCGCTTCCTGTCCACATTCCAAAACTCCCTTTCAAAATATTCCCGTTTGACTTTTGCCGGATGCCTGATTGAACGGCTTTCAAAGACGTTTGAATTCTCGATCACAG